CTAGCCTTATACTACTAACCCCTAGCCGTATACTACTAACCCATAGCCTTATACTACTAACCCCTAGCCTTATACTACTAACCCATAGCCGTATACTACTAACCCCTAGCCTTATACTACTAACCCATAGCCTTATACTACTAACCCCTAGCCTTATACTACTAACCCATAGCCTTATACTACTAACCCATAGCCTTATACTACTAACCCATAGCCGTATACTACTAACCCCTAGCCGTATACTACTAACCCATAGCCTTATACTACTAACCCATAGCCTTATACTACTAACCCATAGCCTTATACTACTAACCCATAGCCTTATACTACTAACCCATAGCCGTATACTACTAACCCATATCATTCTATTGGATTTTATTCCTCCTGGACTGTTGTTGTCCGTTGTCGTACTGTCTGCTGTTACGCACCAACCACCACATTCCTTGTATGTGACATTTTATGGTGACAAATGTTTCCTGGTTCCTGAGTGACCTGCAGGTTGGTGCACGGCCGCCTGTCTGATGTGCACTTTCTCAACACTTCATAGTTCATCACAAACATTCATCATCAACACATTACGTGCACACAAACTGTCATTTGAGAGGAAATGAACACACACAGACACACACTTGCTGCGTGTCACTTCCTGCCAGCTCATCAGATCAGACTTTCTCTCTTCAGCATTTACAAACTAACCACTTCGATCCTCGTTGATGAGCTGAGCTTTGGTTTTATTTGTGTTCTTATGGTTAAGATGGAGTTTTGTCCTCTGAAGCTTCGTCTCGCTGTGTGGACGATGACGAGTCTCGTCTGTGTGTGTCCTCACGGTGAGACAAATACATTTACCTCATTTTGTGTTCTTTTTATCGAATTGTTAAACTTTGCTTCTCTTTCCTCAGATTTAAAATCTAATCTGAATATAAGAATTATTTGACTCGTTATCCGATCTCAGTGTTTGGGTTGTTGCCGCCTCCTATTTAGGACGCACAAAGTACTCATCGGGTGTTTGTGTGTCTGTGGGTCAGAGGTCACGGTGAAGCAGTCCGATCTGAAGCAGTGTGACGACCGGCGAGTGTGTGTGACCGACCTCAGAGACTGTGACCGCCGACGCACTGCGTCTACACAGGGTACACACAGGACACACACACACACAGGACACACACAGACACATTTGCATTTTACATTGCGTTGTACCTTCTGATAAACACTTAGTGATAAGATACTTTAAGGCCTTTTATGCACCACAGTACTTTCACACTGAGGTATTGGTATCTTTACTGTAGTAAAAGGTCAGAATGTCTAAAACACTTTCCTCTATATTGATATTATATCTATATGTATATCCACCTACTGTGTATGTTTATATTCGTATGCTGGTTAAATAATAATAATTTCATGATTATTTTATTATAATACATGAGTTGTTGTTGTTTTTAAAAAAAGGAACAATTGACAAAATAGGATTTAAATACAAACACAAAACTAGCGGCCTCTCTGTTAAATATATAAAGTTGTGTTTTATATTAAACTGGCACACAGACACACACACACACACCTTGTTACTGTGCATTCAATACGAAGCAGGTTCATCTACTATGTATGTTTTTACTTTAGACATGTGCTCATTCCGTGTTAACTGATACCAACACGTGTGTTTTCTTATAATCATGTATACACGCTCTTCAAATGGACCTTTCTGTTATAGACACAGATGTGGAAACGAGTGAACGAGTGAAGGCCTGATATCTTTCTGACTGGAAGATGGTCTGCCTCCTTTTATCTGCTCAAACATGTTGGCTTCACGTTAACGTGCATCTAAAGGCCTTTAACTGGGTTTTCATCTGAAGCTGCAATGAGCATCATGAGCATCATGATCATCATGGCCATCATGATGATCATGAGCATCATGAGCATCATGAGCATCATGATCATCATGAGCATCATGAGCACCGTGGCCACCGTGACCACCGTGACCGCCGTGACCACCATGACCATCGTGGCCATCATGACCACTATGACCATCGTGGCCATCGTGACCACTATGACCATCGTGGCCATCGTGACCACTATGACCATCGTGGCCATCGTGACCACTATGACCATCGTGGCCATCGTGACCACTATGACCATCGTGGCCATCGTGACCACTATGACCATCATGACCATCGTGGGCCATCGTGACCATCATGACCATCGTGGCCATCGTGACCATCGTGGCCATCGTGACCACCATGACCATCGTGGCCATCGTGACCACTATGACCATCGTGACCATCGTGACCATCGTGACCACTATGACCATCGTGACCATCGTGACCATCGTGACCACTATGACCATCGTGACCATCGTGGCCATCGTGACCATCAAGACCATCATGGCCATCGTGACCACCATGACCATCGTGGCCATCGTGACCATCATGACCATCGTGGCGTCTGTGGGTTTGAGCCGCTCCTCTCTTCCCGCAGAGACCCTGAACGTGTCGTGTCAGTACCACCAGTCAGCCGAGTCTCTGACCTGTGGGTGGAGCCTCCATCCAGAGGGCCACGCGGAGCCGGCCGTGTCCTTCATCTTCAGCAGGTACCTGCTGACTACACGTCCTCTTCTAGATGCTTCTTCTCGTTCTCGTGCTCATGTGTGTGAAGATCTTCGTCTCTCCCTCTTTTCTTTCCTTTTCCCTTTTTCTTCTTCCTCAGCGAATTGGTCATCTACTCCTGTCCGGGCATCTTCAACCCGTTGTCCCTGCTCACCGTGACGGCCCGGATCAAGGACTACGCCACGGGGAGGGAGGTCTGGTCTCGTCCTTGGACCTTTCTTCTCTACGATGCGGGTCGGTGGACCCGGACGCCTCCTCGCCGCGTAGCCAGCAGGCGTCGTCTGGTTGATTCACCGGCTCTGTCTCCTTGTCCCCTCGTCTCCTCTCCTCAGCCAAACCCTCTCGCCCCGTGTTGAGTCTGCTTCGCTCCACCGAGGACTCTGTGGTCGTGTCGTGGAGAGGCGGCGACGGCGTCTGTCGGCTCCGGTACCGGGTCGAGGGCGCGCCCACGTGGACCGAGGTCACCACGCACACTCGCTTACAAATGTTACATGTTGAGCTGCTGTTGTCTTCTCTATGGAAGTAAATCTGTGTCATCGGATTCTGAAAGAAAAAGGTGATTGAATTTCTAGCACTGAATATTTATGCATTGACATCATGTATCTGAATGTTTTTCAACGTCAAAATATTCAACCGCAAAAATTCAATGCAAAAAAAATTCAATGCAAAAAAATTCAATGCAAAAAAAATTCGAACCGCAACATCCGGGAACCCAAGGAAGAGCAATCGATTCTAGATTAAGATCGGGAGCGTGCGTCAAGCAAAAGGAGCGAGCGCCCCAATACAACTTGTATTTGAATTTGTTGAATTTTGAAGTTGAATTTTTTGCAGTTGACTATTTTAACGTTGAAAAACATTCAGATACATGATTTCAATGCATAAATATTCAGTGCTAGAAATTCAATCACCTTTTTCTTTCAGAATCCGATGACACAGATTTACTTCCATACTTCTCCATCATCAGGTAAACACGGTGCATTTCACTGGGTCTCACACGAGGATCTCATGATGGAGATGAAACAACAGGATCTAAAGGACTTACAGTGAAACAGACACATCAGATGGAAACACTGAATACTTCAGTGCGTGAAGTCGACGAGGTCCCAGGCGCCTGAAAACCTCATTCATGTGCTTCAGGCTCCAGAATCTGTGGCTGCACACGAAGACGAGACTCTGACCTACACCATCAAAGACCTGCTGGTGTCCACCACCTACAGAGCGGCTGTGGCCTGCACCGAGGAGTCCGGCATCCAGAGCGACTGGAGCGCCGAGGTCAGCGGCAGGACGCTGGACAGAGGTACCGGGGGACACTTGATTCGGAGACAGACGCTCTGTGTGTTCCCGGACCCGACGGTGTCTTTTAATGTCCACAGCGCCCTCCCGGCCTCCAGAGGTGTGTTACCGAGTGGAGAAAAGAGACTCTGGATCTCTTCTCCTTCATCTCATGTGGAAGGTACATCGGAAACGCTTTTTACAGGCGTCAGTAGGACAATTGACTTTTTTGGAATTTCTCTTAAAAAAGAATCAAACTAAACATGAAGTATTCTATGAAAACCCAAATATACGAAACCCAAAATGAAACTTTTGAAGGAAAAACTGATTTTATTAAAAATAATAAAAACCTGAAAAAAGAAAAGTTGGTCTATCTGCAGGACCTCGACCTCCGTGACGCCGGAGGCCGTATCCTCGGTTACCGGGTGACCTACGAGACGAAGCAGCAGCCGCGCCGACGCGTTCAAAACGTCACCGCAGTGACGGCGCTGCTGGTGGTGGAGGAGGGGAACTGCAGCGTCGCCGTTGCGGCCTTCAACTCTGCCGGCTACGGACCGGCCGCGCGCCTCGCCATCGACCCGCGGAGACGCAGCGGTGAGTGGCGCGCCCGGCGCGATCAGACACGCTGATGATTATCCACGCCGCCCGCAGGAAGTGACGAGGTGAAAAGAAGCGCGTTTATCGATCTTCTTCTTTCCAACTGACACCATCGGGTTTGAACTTCCTTCCTTCTGCTATCGGAGGAGGAAGAACGTGTCTTGATGTTCAGATAGAACTCGTTGCAACACAAGTCTGAATAATCTGTGTACCACAGATCGTGTACGTACAGCGCCTTGCGAAAGTATTCGGCCCCCTCGAACTTTTTGACCTTTTGCCACATTTCAGGCTTCAAACATAAAGATATAAAACTGTAATTTTTTGTGAATAATCAACAACAAGTGGGACACAATCATGAAGTGGAATGAAATTTATTGCATATTTCAAACTTTTTTAACAAATGAAAAACTGAAAAATTGGGCGTGCAAAATTATTCAGTTAATACTTTGTAGCGCCACCTTTTGCTGCGATTACAGCTGTCTCTGGAGTCCCACCGGTTATGATATCCGGTGGGACTCCAGAGGCAGTTGCAGTGTACCGTCAGGCTCGAAGGGCAGCAGCCTCTGCCATGATGGAGGCAAAGCAGCGAGTATGGGAGGAGTTCGGGGTAACTATGGAGAAGGACTTTCGGTCGGCACCGAAGTGCTTCTGGAAGACCATCCGGCACCTCAGGAGGGGGAAACGGGGAACCATCCAAGCTGTGTACAGTAAGGATGGGACCCTGTTGACCGCGACTGAGGAGGTTATCGGGCGGTGGAAGGAAGACTTTGAGGAACTCCTGAACCCAACTACTACGCCCTCTTTGGTAGGGGCGGAGCTGGAGGCGGAGGAGGCGGAGGAGGGACAGTGCCAAAAGAGTGGCAGATCGGGGTGGTGGTACCCCTCTTCAAAAATGGGGACCAGAGAGTGTGTGTGGACTTGGAGAAGGCGTATGACCGGGTCCCCCGAGAGATACTGTGGGAGGTGCTGTGGGAGTACGGGGTGAGGGGGTCCTTGCTTGGGGCCATCCAATCCTTGTACGCCCAAAGCGAGAGCTGTGTTCGGGTGCTCGGCAGTAAGTCGAAGGCGTTTCCGGTGGGGGTTGGCCTTCGCCAGGGCTGCGCCTTGTCACCAATCTTGTTTGTGGTTTTCATGGACAGGATATGGAGGCGTAGTCGGGGGGAGGAGGGTCTACAGTTCGGGGGGCTGCGGATCTCACCGCTGCTTTTTGCAGATGACGTGGTCCTGATGGCATCTTCCGTCTGTGACCTCCAACTCTCACTGGAGCGTTTCGCAGTCGAGTGTGAAGCGGTCGGGATGAGGATTAGCACCTCTAAATCTGAGGCCATGGTTCTCAGCAGGAAACCGATGGATTGCCTACTCCAGGTAGGGAATGTGTCCTTACCCCAAGTGAAGGAGTTCAAGTACCTCGGGGTCTTGTTCACGAGTGAGGGGAAATAGGAGTGCGAGTTTGGCCGGAGAATCGGAGCAGCGGGGGCGGTGTTGCACTTGCTTTAGTGCACCGTTGTGACGAAAAGAGAGCTGAGCCGGAAGGCAAAGCTCTCGATCTACCGGTCAATCTTCGTTCCTACCCTCACCTATGGTCATGAAGGATGGGTCATGACCCAAAGAACTAGGTCACGGGTACAAGCGGCCGAAATGGGTTTCCTCAGGAGAGTGGCTGGCGTCTCCCTTAGAGGGTGAGAAGCTCAGCCATTCGCGAGGAGCTCGTAGTAGAGCCGCTGCTCCTTTGCGTCGAAAGGAGCCAGTTGAGGTGGTTTGGGCATCTGGTGAGGATGCCCCCTGGGCGCCTCCCTAGGGAGGTGTTTCAGGCACGGCCAGCTGGGAAGAGGCCCCGGGGAAGACCCGGGACTAGGTGGAGAGATTATATCTCTGCACTGGCCTGGGAACGCCTTGGGATCCCCCAGTCAGAGCTGGTAGATGTGGCCCGGGAAAGGGAAGTTTGGGGTCCTCTGCTGGAGCTGTTGCCCCCGCGACCCGACCCCGGATAAGCGGTTGAAGATGGATGGATGGATGGATGGATGGATGGTCCTGTATTTGGCTCCGTCCATCTTCCCATCCATTTTAACCATCTTCCCTGTCCCTGCTGAAGAAAAGCAGGCCCAAACCATGATGCTGCCACCACCATGTTTGACAGTGGGGATGGTGTGTTCAGGGTGATGAGCTGTGTTGCCTTTACGCCAAACATAACGTTTTGCATTGTTGCCAAAAAGTTCGATTTTGGTTTCATCTGACCAGAGCACCTTCTTCCACATGTTTGGTGTGTATCCCAGGTGGCTTGTGGCAAACTTTAAACGACACTTTTTATGGATATCTCTAAGAAATGGCTTTCTTCTTGCCACTCTTCCATAAAGGCCAGATTTGTGCAGTATACGACTGATTGTTGTCCTATGGACAGACTTTCCCACCTCAGCTGTAGATCTCTGCAGTTCACCCAGAGTGATCATGGGCCTCTTGGCTGCATCTCTGATCAGTCTTCTCCTTGTTTGAGCTGAAAGTTTAGACGGACGGCCGGGTCTTTGTAGATTTGCAGTGTTCTGATACTCCTTCCATTTCAATATTATTGCTTGCACAGTGCTCCTTGGGATGTTTAAAGCTTGGGAAATCTTTTTCTATCCAAATCCGGCTTTAAACTTCTCCACAACAGTATCTCGGACCTGCCTGGTGTGTTCCTTGTTCTTCATGATGCTCTCTGCGCTTTAAACAGACCTCTGAGACGATCACAGAGCAGGTGCATTTATACGGAGACTTGATTACACAGGTGGATTCTATTTATCACCATTAGTCATTTAGGTCACCATTGGATCACTCAGAGATCCTCACTGAACATCTGGACAGAGTTTGCTGCACTGAAAGTAAAGGGGCTGAATCATTTTGCACGCCCAATTATTCAATTTTTTATTTGTTAAAGTTTGAAATATCCAATAAATTTCGTTCCACTTCATGATTGTGTCCCACTTGTTGATTCTTTACAAAAATTACAGTTTTATGTCTTTATGTTTGAAGCCTGAAATGTGGCAAAAGGTCGAAAAGTTCGAGGGGGCCGAATACTTTCGCAAGGCACCGTACGTACACGATGTGTGGTACACAGATTATTCAGACTTGTGTTGCAACGAGTTCTATCTGAACATCAAGACACGTTCTTCCTCCTCCGATAGCAGAAGGAAGGAAGTTCAAACCCGATGGTGTCAGTTGGAAAGAAGAAGATCGCTATCGACCAAAGTACAATACAATACAAAGTATTAACTTAAGGGGGCTGAATAATTTTGCACGCCCAATTTTTCAGTTTTTTAATTTGTTAAAAAAGTTTGAAATATCCAATAAATTTCGTTCCACTTCATGATTGTGTCCCACTTGTTGATTATTCACAAAAAATGACAGTTTTATATCTTTATGTTTGAAGCCTGAAATGTGGCAAAAGGTCGTAAAGTTCAAGGGGGCCGAATACTTTCGCAAGGCACTGTACCCCTAATCCTCCTTCTGTACTCTGCAGGCCTCCCGCCGGTCAGACACTTGTGGGTCTCCAGTTCCTTCCCGACCGCCAAGGGCCTTCTGGTCCAATGGGAGAACCCCTCTGTCCCGCCCTCCGTCCCGCCCGTCACTCATCTGGCCGTTCAGTGGCGCTCCGGAACTCCTCCGTCCAACATCAGCCGCTGGACGGCAGTGGAGCCCCTCGACACCTCCGCCGTCATAGGAGGTGCACCCATGTCTGAATATCTCCACAATAAAAGCCGGGCTTTTACTTTGAAGGGCTGCAGAGGAAATGAAGATGATGGAAACGAAAGCCTGTTTCAGATGTGAAGAACATGCGTGATGTTCTGTTAACAACATGCACCTGTTGGTGTTTACATGACGCCGACCCCGAGGAGTCCTACCTGATCAGCGTGCTGCCCGTCTACGGCCAGCGGTGTGGCCCCCCCCAGTCGCTGCCCGCCAGCCTGCAGCAGGGGGGTAAACGCCACGGTTACACCCCACCTTTTTAAATACGGGTTTTCAATGATTTGATCTTTGTGTTACTTTGTGATATATTTGAAAGAAAACACGCTTGGGGACGCTTTAGGGCGGGGCTTAGAGTGATGGACAGGTCTCTACCGCGGTGCTGTTTGCGCATTGACGGACAGACAAGCAACGGGACACGTGGCTCTGTGCGTTTTCTCAGCCCTGATGGAGGCGGTCCAACTGAAGGTGGTGGGCGTGACCAAAACCTCCGTGAGCGTGGCGTGGGTGTGGCAAAAGAAGTCTGGACCAATCAGAGTGCAGAGATACAGAGTGAAGCTGAGGAAAGACTCGGAGAGTCACAGTGAGTTATCTTCATGGCCGATGTGACTTTTTTGTTATAAAACGATGACTCTTAAGTGAATGTGAACTATTATCCGTGTTTTAACAATCCGGGGCCTCATTTATAAAAGCTTGCGTAGGATTTGCACGTACGGATGAAACGTGGGACGTGCAGAAACATTCAGACTTCTAAAACGTCCTTGGCAGTTTCCCCTTAATGAATCACAATGAACTCTAAATGCAGAGCACCTTCTCTCCTCTCAGCTCTGTCCCTGTGGCCCGACCAACGGCAGCTCACCTTCCTCAACCTGACCCCGAACACGGAGTATTCCCTCCTCCTATTGGCTGATGACTCGTCCAGAAACGTCGTCCCCGTGAGGACAGACTTTGGTGAGTTTCCGCAGGGCGGAAAACGTTTGTTGGACATCATCATCATTTGAACATCTCACATTAATTATGTTAATTATGTTCCATTAATCTACAGTAACTGTTGCTATTTTGAGAAATTGGAAACCAGTTCTTAAAAATCTTTTTGTAGTTTTTGACCCATTTAAAAGAAGAACATGGAGCCCAGAATAAAACCATCGGTGATATTTCTCTGCATTAGTGCTACTTGAGTGTCGGTGCACACAGGCCTCGTTTTTTAGAGATAAGAGGGAAGCAAATTGAGTCCTTTGCCTGCGTTACTGATCTGTTAACATGCAAATCGATTCAACTGCTAAAAGAACAGATAAAGAACATTGAATCGGGAGTCAGAATTAAAATGTAGTTTATATTTTTAATAAAACACAAAGATATTTTTTTGGTTATTATTATTGAAACTTGTATTCTTTGTCACCCTTTCATACCTAAGATTATATATAAGAATCTGAATCCATCTATAATGGGACTAAAATGGGCGGCTGTATATTCAGGTTATTGTGCAAACCAGACAACCGCTTTCTTAAGTTAAAAACTGGTAATCAACCTCGGATGTAGACGATCATCTTCTCCACCTCAGGCACCACGACGTTATCCGGCCATCCAAGCACAAACATCAGTTGACACAAAAATCTCTCCAAGTAATATTAATATTTAGCTTCCATAAACATGAGTCTTCATGCAACGCTTCCTATGACCTCCCACCCAAAGTTACTCCTTATTAGTCCCGCTCAAGTCCAAAGTGTCAACAAGTGCTGTGAGTGAAGTGACAAATGGTCGTGGAGGCGAACGGGACTCAATGCTCACACAACACCTTTCAGATGAGGGGCCGGCCGTGGCTGCAGCGACTCCTCTGCTGCTGCTGGCCGCCGTCGTGTCCATCGTCTCCATCCTGACCAGGACTGTGTGAGTCCACACACACACACACACACACACACACACACACACACACTCAACCAGAGGGTTGCGTCATTGTGTTATCGAGGATCCCTTATCTTACGCACACGCTGTGTACAGGAAGCAGAAGTCGCCCTTTTGTGGCCCGATGCTCTGAAGCAATTTCAAAGTCGCCATTTAGTTATTTAGCAACGAGTGAACGGGAAGTGACCGTATGTGGAGTGAGGAGACGCCGTATTCATCTATGGTAGATACCTGTCAATCAGCGTGTAGCCCCGCCCTAAAGTGTCCCCTGCTTCCTGGTCTGTTTGACGCTAAATGGACCATCAGTCACTAAATGAACATCACGCTGTAGTGAAGAAAGACTTGAAACTCATGTTCACTCATGTTGGAGAGAAGCAGCCATTTTCTCGTAGTCTTCCATGGGACCAGAGGTGTCGCCCCCTGCTGGTCACCGGAGGTTAGCGCGTGATGACTGCGTTGAATCAAAAACTAGTCATTCTGTGTTTGATTTGAATTAATATCCCTCTGTAACACCTCCTCAGGTACAAGTCGTACTTCTTCCCCCACATCTGCAGCCCTCGGGGCAGTGACACCGGCCGCTGGCTGATGGACCCAAACCACCAGGTGAGTGGGGACCTTTACCAGATGCTGCTGAATGGAATACTGAAGCACTTAATGTGTTTAAAGTGTTCCACTTTTGTTCGTATAGCAGTACTTTTAAAATACACGTTGAATTCATTATTTACTTTTGTGCAAAACACTGTGATTATTCCAGATTCAGAATTGTAATCTTTGCCGGCACTAATATAGATGGTTACTTTATTAGTTCTGCACGGGGAAGTTAGCTTGTTGCAGCAGCATTTAAAAGCACAAATACGCAGAAAGTAAAGAGGATAATACTCAACAATAGTGCATTTATTGGTGATTTAACCAGACAAACATCTAAACTGTCCAGTTCCCCCTTCAGAAGACTGCGGACAGACGCGTCCTGGACCTGGAGGCCTTCCAGGTGACCCGCGTTCTCGGAGAGAAGAGTCTCATCGTGGTCCGTCCCAGCTCAGAGGAAGACCTCCAGGAAGACCAGGAGGTCTTGACGGAGGTCTTCCAGGAGGACACCGCTCTGCTGTCCGTTGACAAACTGTCGGCCCTCCTGCTGAGCGCGGAGTACCTCCACGAGGCCCCGGGGAGCCCGGAGAACAAGGAGCGACCGGAGAACAAGGAGCGACGGGGGAACGCGCTTTTCCCCGCCGAGGAGACGCCAGACGTCGGCCTCTTTCCTCAAAGAGAGGACGAGGCGGCGGCGGCGGCGGGGAGAGAGTGCGAGTACGTGGCCCACGGGGCTCATCAGATCGGGCCGACGGACGCTGACACTCACTGATAGTTTCATTCACAACGTGGCCAAACGTGTTGAGATCTCTGGATGTCTTATTGAACGCCTCACGCACAGATTGAAAGCGTCGGTGACTCCCGTCAGAGAGGACGACCTGTCCTCTCTGACGGGAGCTGCTCTTGTGATCACAGAACTTGTCCCTCTGATTTCTGAACGTGAGTTCGCGTCTCTTTGCCTCCACTCGCACCTTTTTCTGATGCATTGATGCAGTGAAACAGTTCACGATACCTGCTGATGTAACACTGAAGGCTAACCCCATAGCATGTACGGTTACCATGGTTACCTTCTCTCGCTCTCGTCCTCAACTGCGGAAATAAACGGGGACAAAATACCCAGAAAGAATGTTGAACACGTGTCATGTTTTAGAGCAGCAACAAGCGGACAAAGTGTTGCTACAGACACTGAGAGTTCGTCTCATTTAATATTTGCAGTTGACAAGAAGGCCGACACCTAATTGCACAAAGAATCATGAAGCTACAGAGGAGTTTGAGATTGATCGGATCACTTTAACATCATGGCGCTAGAAACTAAAACGGTGCACGTTCTCCGTCTCTAAGCTTTGATTGATGGTCACACGTCCGGTTCCCTCGCGGTGAAACCGGAGGTCGTTTCCACCAACGCGCCCGTGAGCTGAAGGTCAGAGGTTGGAGTTCATGCCGGTCCAGTGTCTGATGAGCTGGTGGGCGATGGTCTGTCTGGGGGGGACGGTGAAGGCGGGGCGGGTTCCTAAGAAGGAGTCCATCACCTTGAAAAAATGAAGTCAGACGAAGAGTTTTAACAGCTGGTTTCTGGGGGAGTTTTTGCTAAAAAATATATATTTTCCTTTTTTTATTTTTTAAGGAAATAAAGTAATAAAGTTAAATGAGCGGTGGAATTCTCTTTAATTTTGGAAATATAAAAAATATATATCTTCATATCTACATGCATTGCTTTGCCTCATTTTATTTATTTTTAAATTGTTTTTACAAGACTTTTAATTCTTTCTTTTGTTTTGCCAGAATCTTTTTATAACTTATTATATTCAGTGTAAAGTAGAATTACGCAAAGGTATTAATACTAATGCAAGTAGTATTGTAGTATGTTGTAGCGTATTTATCAATTAACATTATTACTGGTTTTACAGTGTAAATAGTAGATTTAACTAAACCAAGAAGGTATCGATGGAACCAACAGCGTCCTCGAGGCCATGAGATACGGCTGAGGGCCCAGGACCCCCTGGTGGTCCCCATCCATACCGGAGCCATCACATCATCAACATCAGCACTGCTCTTTGTTACTTGTTGCCGCGGGAACCAGCGAGCCTCCTCGATCTCGTGCTCGTCCACCGTGATGCCGGTCGACGTGGCGGCGGCGAGGCAGCCGATCATCAGGTTGGAGGGCATCGGCCACGGCTGGCAGGAGACGTACTGCACCGAGCCGACCTTCACCCCGCTCTCCTCCTCCACCTCCCTGCGCACCGCCTGCTCCAGCGTCTCCCCTGTACGGGGGGGGTCCAGGTAAGGCCGGGGTTAGTCAATGCTGTGTGTGTGTGTGTGTGTGTGTGTGTGTGTGTGTGTGTGTGTGTGTGTGTGTGTGTGTTACCAGGCTCTATGAATCCAGCCAGACAGGAGAACATGCCGACTGGAAAGATCTTCTTCCTGCCCAGTAGACACTGGTCTCCATCGGGGTGGATGACCAGCATGATGACCACGGGGTCTGAAGAGAGGAGCCGTGAACAGAAGGCGTTTAAACTCCTCATCATGTGATGTTTAATCATACACTTTACACGTGTTCATGTCGTTATGATGGATACGTTTTCTTTGAAGTTAAATTAAGTTGACTTAGTTTTTAATGTCAAAGGCCAAACTCGCCACGTGTTAAACGCTGCATCGTCTCTAGTGACCAGCAGGGGGCGACTCCTCAGCCTCATGAAGGTCTCTGAGAAATATGCTCACTTCCTGTTCACTGGTTGCTATGGAGCTTCTTACACTCGCTCTACTGAGGCTCAACATCCTGTAAACTATCTGGCTGCAAAATATTACCCCCCGTTTCTAAAGCATCATTAAACAAAGAACCGATCTGAGCCGATCGGCGCTCCGCGTACCGACTCGCGGGTAGCAGGTGTTGTGGACGCCCTTCTGGCTCCTGCAGTCGGCGCTCAGGCAGCTCCGCTTGTAGCCCCCCTCCTCCAGCAGGGTGCCGCTGCCGCAGGTGGGACAGAAGGAGTAGCGGCTGTGCCAGGCCAGCACCGCCCGCGCCTGGGCCACGACTCCTGGAGGACAGAGGGGGAGGACGGAGGGGAGGACGAGGACGGAGGACGAGGACGGAGGGTAGGGGGGAGGACAGAGGACAGAGGGGGAGGACAGAGGACAGAGGGGGGTGGACAGAGGACGGAGGGGAGGGGGGAGGATCACACCTCAAACTGGTAGCAAAGGAACGGTCGGCTTGCTCCTCACCGGCCTCGTCCTCGCTGAGCTTCAGCAGGTCTCTGTTGGCCGTCTTTGTAAAGCAGCACTTCTTCTGCCCGAAGCGCTTGAGGAGCTCGCCGGCGTCCTCCTCCGTGTTGATGGCGAACCACGCGGGAGAGGAAGAGGAGGGGGAGGAGGAGGAAGAGGAGGGCTGCTTCCTCCGCTCCACTCCCAGGAAGATGAGCACAGTGGCAGGTTTCTGGAGGAGGTCTTTCACCGCCTCGTACCCCAGCCGACAGAGCTTGGTCTCCACCTGCTGACGGGTAGGAGGACCATAGAAGAACCACGAAGGGAAGACGTGGGCCTGCAGCAGTCCGACCTCACGTTTCACTCACTCTGAACCTTTTCTAAACTCTTTTGGTGAGGTCAATAATCACTTTGTATTTATATAAATATACTTGACTTGCATTTACGTATTTAATAAGAATACAAGGAAAATCCTTTACGCAGACGATGTGTCACGTTACGCTTAGAACAATCTAATAATGCTTCCATAAAGACCCTCATTGGAGATGTGTACGGCAGGAAGCTCTGAACCCAGAAATGTCAGTAGGCCTTGGTACCTCGGCTCCGCCCCCGTCCTCCTGGGCGGGGCCGACCATGGGGCTGAGGTCGGAGAACAGCAGGTAGACGGAGTCCGGCTGGCTCCGCCTCTCCTCCAGCCACACCGTGTCGGTCCTCTTGGCGCTCAGCCGGTCCAGCGTCTCCCTGCTGAAGTAGTTCTCCCGCGGGTGGAGGTCGGAGGTCGGCGGGACGCCCTCCGCCCCGGCCAGCAGGGCGGCGATGTGGCGGTGGCCCCAGAACCTGGCCACGTCGAGGGCGCTCTGCGACGAGCCGTTCACGGAGAGCCGGTCGCACCTCCAACGCCATCAAAAGCAGACGGGGAGGTTTTAGGAGAGGACTTAAATTTATATCAACCTGGGAAAAAAACCCTGAACCAAACTGATCTAAAAGTCCAGTTCCATATGCTGCTAAACGATATTAATACTTAACTCCAACTTTAGTTACTCTGCTGATGAATTAAGAGCAAACGTTATCGATCTAAAGTCGTTTAAATGAGCTCCATCTTTTCAAGCTGCAACATGAAAGAGATGAAGACAATATTTGTGTTCATCATCCAATAATATGATGGAGATGATTCTGACTCGGGAGCCTCATGAGAGATTTGACCCGTCACACTGGTTCACTCTGCATGGTGGTGATTTCTGCCCTCTAGTGGCCAATAACCCAAAACACTGCTGTTATTATTATTATTATTATTATTATCATTGCTCTACCCGTGGGACAGCAGCGCCTCCGCCGCCTCGTAGTGTCCGTTGCGAGCGGCGAGCATCAGCGCCGTCCAGCCGCTCCGTCCCGACCGGTTGATGAGCGACGGGGCGCCGCGCAGCAGCTCGGACACGCGCCTCACGTCTCCCCTGGCGGCGGCGTCCAGGAACATCTCCACCGCCTCCTCCTCCGCGCTCAGCTGGAGGCTCGTCATCCTGGAGGGGGGGGTAGAAGGTTCCTCACTGAGGAACCCACAAGGTAAGGTTACCCATAGGAAAGGTGCTTCTATGCTTCCTTTATGAGCTCCTTTAGCATAGGAAAGGTGTCTCAATGCTTCCTTTATGAGCTCCTTTAGCATAGGAAAGGTGCTTCTATGCTTCCTTTATGAGCTCCTTTAGTATAGGAAAGGTCTTCTATGCTCCCTTCATGAGCTCCTTTAGTATAGGAAAGGTGTCTCAATGCTTCCTTTATGAGCTCCTTTAGCATAGGGAAGGTGCTTCTATGCTTCCTTCATGAGCTCCTTTAGCATAGGAAAGGTGTCTCAATGCTTCCTTTATGAGCTCCTTTAGCATAGGGAAGGTGCTTCTATGCTTCCTTCATGAGCTCCTTTAGCATAGGAAAGGTGTCTCAATGCTTCCTTTATGAGCTCCTTTAGCATAGGAAAGGTGCTTCTATGCTTCCTTCATGAGCTCCTTTAGCATAGGAAAGGTGCTTCTATGCTTCCTTTATTATTTATAAATGTAGTATATTATATGTATTTATTTATTTGATTAATGTATTCTTTTGTAGATCAGTGTAGCCCTGGTTTGCTTCTCTTGTTAGAAAAGGTGAACTCTGCACCTGAGGGTTGCACATCCGTCTCGCTCCTTCTGATTGGCGCACACGGCTGTCAATCACACTATGGCTACGCCCATTTACACATTACAAAATCGCAGCTGACTTGTAACCGCTCGTAACTCCCGTGTGATCGGGTTGAATATTCGCAGAACGTTTTCTCACATGTTGTACTATCTGTTACTATTTGTACTCTTGAATATCCGGCGATGCGTCCGGAGTCACGTGTTATCGGTATTAATCGATCCGCTACTTTAGTCCACTTCGGGCTCCGTCTACTTCCTGCAAGCGGCTCCTGGGTTCACTCGTCTCTCCTTCAAACGCGACATGAGCCGTTTGAGCAACAATAATGAAACATAAAGGATTCACCTCGCGCTGCTGCTTCTCTCCGGTCCGCCGGGTCCGACGTGCTGCGTTCAATGTCTCCTCAAACCGTCGTGTTTCTGAGCGTCATCCAACGATTACGAAGTACGGTGTCAGCAACAGATTCACTGTTTGCTTTTGTATATTTAAATGTATATGTATTTTATATTTATATGTGTATATATACATATATACAACCCTATTACAATACTATCATTTTAATGTACTCATCATATTCTTTATTATTATTTATCCGCGTCGTATTCCTTGTTTTTATCTGTTATGGTCGTGAAAGAACATCGAGAGAACCTCAAATGCGTCTTGAGAGCTAATTACACTGAACATTTTCAAATAATACAAATAAAATAAAATAATGAAATAACATCTGGCTCCAGAAAGCAGACTCAATTATAGATTTAGGTGTTGAAA